TTAATTACTTAAAAATCATACAATGTGATTTTTGTTTTAGATTCCGTCTCTCACAGTTGAAGTGTACCTATGATAAAAATTACAGATCTCTACATGCGTTGTAAGTAGGAAAACCTGCAAAATCAGCAGTGTATCAAATACTTGTTCTCCCCACTGTGTGTGTGTGTGTGTATATGTGTGTGTATGTATGTATATATACAGTGAGGGTAAAAAAAAATTTGATCCCCTGCTGATTTTGTATGTTTGCCCACTGACAAAGACATGATCAGTCTATCATTTTAATGGTAGGTTTATTTGAACAGTGAGAGACAGAATAACAACAAAAAAATTCAGAAAAACGCATGTCAAAAATGTTATAAATTGATTTGCATTTTAATGAGGGAAATAAGTATTTGACCCCTCTGCAAAACATGACTTAGTACTTGGTGGCAAAACCCTTGTTGGCAATCACAGAGGTCAAACGTTTCTTGTAGTTGGCCATCAGGTTTGCACACATCTCAGGAGGGATTTTGGTCCACTCCTCTTTGCAGATCTTCTCCAAGTCATTAAGGTTTCGAGGCTGACGTTTGGCAACTCGAACCTTCAGCTCCCTCCACAGATTTTCTATGGGATTAAGGTCTGGAGACTGGCTAGGCCACTCCAGGATCTTAATGTGCTTCTTCTTGAGCCACTCCTTTGTTGCCTTGGCTGTGTGTTTAGGGTCATTGTCATGCTGGAATACCCATCCACAACCCATTTTCAATGCCCTGGCTGAGGGAAGGAGGTTCTCAACCCAGAGATTTGACGGTACATGGCCCCGTCCATCGTCCCTTTGATGCGGTGAAGTTGTCCCGTCCCCTTAGCAGAAAAACCCCCCCAAAGCATAATGTTTCCACCTCCATGTTTGACGGTGGAGATGGTGTTCTTGGGGTCATTGGCAGCATTCCTCCTCCTCCAAACACGGCGAGTTTAGTTGATGCCAAAGAGCTCGATTTTGGTCTCATCTGACCACAACACTTTCACCCAGTTCTCCTCTGAATCATTCAGATGTTCATTGACAAACTTCAGACGGCCCTGTATATGTGCTTTCTTGAGCAGTGGGACCTTGCGGGCGCTGCAGGATTTCAGTCCTTCATGGCGTAGTGTGTTACCAATTGTTGTCTTGGTGACTATGGTCCCAGCTGCCTTGACATCATTGACAAGATCCTCCCGTGTAGTTCTGGGCTGATTCCTCACCGTTCTCATGATCATTGCAACTCCACAAGGTGAGATCTTGCATGGAGCCCCAGGCCGAGGGAGATTGACAGTTATTTTGTGTTTCTTCCATTTGCGAATAATCTCACCAACTGTTGTCACCTTCTCACCAAGCTGCTTGGCGATGGTCTTGTAGCCCATTCCAGCCTTGTGTAGGTCTACAATCTTGTCCCTGACATCATTGGATAGCTCTTTGGTCTTGGCCATGGTGGAGAGTTTGGAATCTGATTGATTGATTGCTTCTGTGGACAGGTGTCTTTTACACAGGTAACAAACTGAGATTAGGAGCACTCCCTTTAAGAGTGTGCTCCTAATCTCAGCTCGTTACCTGTATAAAAGACACCTGGGAGCCAGAAATCTTTCTGATTGAGAGGGGGTCAAATACTTATTTCCCTCATTAAAATGCAAATCAATTTATAACATTTTTGACATGCGTTTTTCAGGATTTTTTTGTTGTTATTCTGTCTCTCACTGTTCAAATAAACCTACCATTAAAATTATAGACTGATAATTTCTTTGTCAGTGGGCAAACGTACAAAATCAGCAGGGGATCAAATACTTTTTTCCCTCACTGTGTGTGTGTGTGTGTGTGTGTGTGTGTGTGTATATATATATATATATATATGTATGTATGTATGTATGTATGTATGTATGTATGTATGTACGTACGTACGTACGTACGTACGTATCCTTTAAAAATATATATATTTCCCTTTATTACTTTCCAACCCCACCACCCCTTCCCTAATTGGAGTAAACTAGTGAACAAATAATAATAATAATAATAATATGCCATTTAGCAGACGCTTTTATCCAAAGCGACTTACAGTCATGCGTGCATACATTTTTGTGTATGGGTGGTCCCGGGGATCGAACCCACTACCTTGGCGTTACAAGCGCCGTGCTCTACCAGTTGAGCTACAGAGGACCACAGAACAACAATGCTTAGGCCTCTACTTCATGCTTATACATACTATATACATTTTATGGACACTATATACATTTTATATTTTGTTTGTTTTTACTCCTGAACTTCCTCCGATCATTTTCATGATGTCCATCTGGTATGCTTCTATATGCCATATCTTTCTAACTGTGCTCTTTCACAAAAGCTCACAATATATAACCTATATACTTATTATGGACACAGCATGTCTTACACTAGTTATCTTGTTATTAGTTGTTGTTATTAGTCCCATCCTTCAGCTCCATTCAACACCTCCCATCTATTTCTTAACACCATCCATATTGGATTTCTATTTGCCATATCTTTTTCAACTGTACTGTGATGTTTTACAAAAGTTCTGAACCTTTCTATTCTCATTGTTTCTACTGTTTGTGAATTGAAAATAAACATTTTTGCTAAAAGTATTATTATATTATTGATTGATTGACTATGACTTTTCAGATCACCCAGTAGTGCTATCTGCAGGGTCAGCTCCATGCAAATATTGCAATCCTTCCTTCAGCCATTCCTGGACCTGTGTCCAGAAACAAGCTACAAATGGACAGTACCAAAACAAATTATATTAATGATTCTGTCTCTTCACAGCCAAATCTGCAGAGCTGGGAAGATTGTATCCCCCATACAAATAACATTATATTGGTAGCAAGAATGTTATATAATAATTTAAATTGAAAAATTCTAAGTTTTGAATCCGGCGTCGTTTTACGTATCAGTTCATAAACACTATGCCATGGAATCGGTACGTCAAAAATCTCTTCCCAACTATTTTGCAATCTATATGGGACGGCTGTCAATCTTTTGGTCCTTAAATGAAACTGTTAAACTTTTTTATTTATCACAATTTTCTTTAACCAATTATGTTCTTTAATGCAAGGCCGACAGACAAGTTCCTTACTTTTTCCTCCTTCCACTTTACTCTTCAATTTTTGCGATAATGCTGCAATTATTTGGTTGTAATTTTGGGTAGAGCAGACATTTCCATATGTTTTTGTTAGCCGCATGTGCGACAACTCCACCATTCGTACCGATAATATCATTTATGAAGATTATACCTTTTTATTTTTCTAAAAAAAAGAACGTATTTTATCAATTAGTATACTTGAGTTTAACCACAATATTTGTTCTGTCATTTCTGGAGGATTAAATTGAAATTGCAACCAACTTTCTATGGCTTGTTTTAGAAATAGTGATATTTGGGAGATTATTTACTTTTCAAATACCTGAAAGTGAGGGGTTGTAATCTGAATAAAGGGAAAAAGTCCCTTCTTCAACATTGGGTGAGACAATCTTACTAGTTTGCTAGAGAACCAGTTTGGATTTAAGTATAATTTTTGTATGACTGAAGCTTTTAGTGATAGGTCTAATGCTTTAATATTTAATAATTTCTGTCCTCCTAATTCATATTCATTATATAAATAGGCCCGTTTAATTTTGTCTGGCTTGCCGTTCCAAATAAAATTGAATATTTATTTCTCATATAATTTAAAAAACTGTTCGCTAGGCGTAGGCAAGACCATAAGCAAATAGGTAAACTGGGATAATACTAAAGAGTTAATCAGGGTGATTTTTCCACAAATTGACAGGTATTTACCTTTCCATGGTAGCAAGATCTTATCTATTTTTGCTAACTTTCTATTAAATTTTTTTTGAGTGAGATCATTTATTTCATTTGGGATATGTATTCCGAGTATATCCACATCACCATCAGACCATTTTATTGGTAAACTACATGGTAATGTAAATTTTTATTTTTTTTGTGATCCAATACGTGATATAGTACATTTATAATAATTTGGTTGTAATCCAGAGAGGTTAGAAAATGTATCTAGATCCTCTGAGGCTGTGGAGGGATTCAAGTTGTGGATTTAAAAGAAAACATGAATCATCAGCGTACAATGACACCTTTGTTTTTAAGCCCTGGATTTCTAATCCCTTGATATTATTGTTGGATCTGATTTTAATAGCTAACATCTCGATGGCAATAATAAATAGATATGCCGATAGTGGACAACCTTGTTTCACTCCTCTTGACAGTTTAAAACTTTCGGAGAAATAGCCATTATTTAATATTTTTATAAGAGATTGTCTAAAATTGAAATGCTCCAGGCATTTATATATAAACCCCAGTCATACTTTATCAAATGCCTTTTCGAAGTCTGCTATGAATATTAGGCCAGGTTTCCCAGATTTTTCATAGTGTTGTATTGTTTCCAGTTCTTGCCTTATATTATCTCCAATGTATCGCCCATGTAAAAAACCTGTCTGATTCTTTGTAATAATGGTATTGGAATAATAATGCATTTTATTTTGTAAAGTTATTTCTTGCATCAAACAAAACAAAATGTTCAGTCACCTCCTTATCTGATGGACAAGTGGATAAACAGGTTAATGTCAAGCCCTGCATCTTTTTTTCAAAAGTCTCATGAAATGTAGGCCTACATTGAACGCCACACATTGGCTCCTACTGTAGGCTGAATGATAGAACCGCTATTTTCATGTTAAAATGTTATGTAATGCATTTTCTCCATAGTGTTTTATGGTATGCCACTCTGGTAGGCCTACATTATGATCAAATAGCCACAGTAGCCTACTTGGCCACTGTTAAAACAGTAAATTAAAGCGGTTCCCTCAGTGTTCACAGTAAACGTGTGCCGGAGGTTGTACAGAATTTTCATAACGTTCAAGTTTGCGCAGAGCAGACCTGAAATTTGCTCAGTGCCGGAAAGAATTTGAGGGAATATTTCTTGGGGCTACATATTATATTGTTGTATAACGATTGTTTGAGCATCCCTGATTTTAGAAAGAGGCTGCATCCAAACTACAGTCACAAGACCTTACACATCGTATTTCTGTTGCAGCGTCTGCCAACTTCCACTACGACAAGTTCTTTGAGAAGAAGATCGATGCAAGGAAGAAGGATCACAGCTACCGGGTGTTTAAGACGGTGAACCGGCGCGCCACGTCCTTCCCCATGGCAGACGACTACTCTGAGTCGCTCCTCATCAAGAGAGACGTGTCTGTGTGGTGCAGCAACGACTACCTGGGCATGAGCCGACACCCCCGCGTCTCCCAGGCCATCATGTGTGTGTGGGGCAAGCAGGTCACAGGAAATGTAGATGGTTGATTGAGGAGGATTATGGTTTAAGATGGATGGAAGTTGACCAGATGGACAGAGTTCCTAGCCTTAGGCCTGCAGTTATAACACTTTATTTATCTTAGAAATGTGGAGTTCCACTCGTAGTTTTCCAAAGAAGACAACAATTTCTTATCAAAGACCTCTCTTCTCTTTCTTTAGGGATACATTACAGAAGCACGGGGCAGGAGCAGGAGGAACACGGAACATCTCAGGGACCAGTAAGTTCCATGTGGACCTGGAGTATGAGCTGGCCGACCTGCATGGCAAAGACGCTGCGCTGCTCTTCACTTCCTGCTTCGTGGCCAATGACTCCACGCTATTCACTCTGGCTAAGATGCTCCCAGGTACTGATACTGATTCTGAAACGACTGACTCAAACCTAGTCGTTTTTCACACACTTCTTCATTCCATGTTCTATAGTAGCTAAAAAATGACTGACTCTCCATTTTACATTCGATTAAATGCTAATGGGCAAAAAATGAGCTCTAAATTATCTGTATAAAAACAAAAATGTTTTTCCTGCTCCCAGGTTGTGAGATCTACTCTGATGCAGGGAACCATGCATCGATGATCCAGGGTATAAGGAACAGCGGGGCCAAGAAGTTCATCTTCCGCCACAACGACGTCAACAATTTACGAGAGCTGCTGCAGAAGTCTGACCCTGCCACCCCCAAGATTGTGGCCTTTGAGACCGTGCACTCCATGGATGGTGGGTTTATGTTTTGTTGCTCTTTTAAAAAAAAATAGTTTTCCAATCTGATTGTGGGAATCTAAAGGAGGTTGTATTGTGGTTGTTTTCTAGGCGCTGTGTGTCCTCTGGATGAGATGTGTGACGTGTCCCATGAGTTTGGGGCCATCACGTTTGTGGACGAGGTACATGCTGTTGGCTTGTATGGGGCCAGGGGAGGAGGCATCGGAGACAGGGACGGCGTAATGCACAAGATGGACATCATCTCAGGAACTCTCGGTAAGATGACTTGGGGCTAGCTTATAATGATAAGATTTAATTGCTACAGCACCTTTTGTAGTTAATTGTCTTACACCCCCCCTCCCTCAAATGAATATTGTTATGATCAAATATTTTACTCACCCAGACCATCAGATCAATTTAAAACATCTTTACCTGGTTTATACCTTACCTCGTATGTTCATTCTCCCTTCCAGGTAAGGCATTTGGCTGTGTGGGCGGCTACATCGCCGGTACCAACGCCCTGGTGGACACGGTGCGCTCCTACGCAGCAGGCTTCATCTTCACTACCTCCCTGCCCCCCATGCTGCTGGCCGGGGCCCGGGAGTCCATCCACACCCTGAAGGGGGAGGAGGGCCGCGTGCTGCGCAGGAAACACCAGAGGAACGTCAAGCTGCTTCGCCAGATGCTGATGGACTCAGGCCTGCCCGTGGTCTACTGCCCCAGCCACATCATCCCTGTTCGTGTAAGACTGGCCTGTTAATCAAGTTTTAAACCATGGAAATGAGAGAAGGGACATTCTATCAACAGTGGCTGTTATATTTCATGCCTGAAGAAAACGTTTTCTAATTTATCACCTGATGAATAATCTTTGACCCCTTGTTGCAGGTGGCGGACGCAGCCAAGAACACAGAGGTGTGTGACATCATGATGTCTCGCTACTACATCTATGTGCAGGCCATCAACTACCCCACTGTGGCTCGGGGAGAGGAGGTCCTCCGCATCGCCCCCACACCACACCACACTCCCCAGATGATGCAGTACTTTGTCGGTAAGCACACACCCCAATGAGTCTTTGTGGTTTTTAGCATGTAATAGTTTGGGATTTTGATGATTTTGACTTATTAAATTTTGCTAAAATGGCCTCCATTTGGTGGGATAAATCTGTCGATGCTGACTGCATTCAGAACTCAAGTCTGCTATAGTTTTTACTTGTGTGTTCTTTATTTTTGAAAATAAAGTACAACTAAAATGTGATCCATTAAATGTGAATGTGTTCCTGTCCACAGAGCGTCTGGTGAAGGCCTGGAAGGAGGTGGGTCTGGAGCTAAAACCTCACTCGTCAGGGGAGTGTAACTTCTGCCAGCAGCCTCTCCACTTTGAGCTGATGACCGAGAGAGAGAGGTCCTTCTTCACCGGCATGAGTCACATGATATCAGCCAGAGCCTAAAAGTTAATTATATACCCCTTCCCCATATAAAATATCTATTTAAGATATTTATTCTCTTATCAATGTACAACTCCATCACCATGTATGAAATATTCTTAATTACAAATAAATATTTGGGGAAATATACTTTTGCTATTGTGTTTCTTGAGCAACTGTTCTGTTACTACAATTTATTTTGAAAAGATAAGGTCAGGGTTCACAGGGAAAATGATCTCTTTCTTATAATTTTGGCAAAGTGGAAATTATGTAACATTGTCTCTCAACCAAATGTCAGCCTTGACAAACATTAATTACAACCTTTGCTCTACCACACCTCACCAGAGTGATTCAGCAAATCTGAAACCACTGTCAGAACACATTTTTGAGACATTTTACTTTTAATCATTCCCAGGTATCCCAGGTATTCCTTAAAGAGGTAGGGTTTCAAGTGTCTCCGGAAGGTGGTCAGTGACTCCGCTGTCCTGGCGTCGTGAGGGAGCTTGTTCCACCATTGGGGTGCCAGAGCAGCGAACAGTTTTGACTGGGCTGAGCTTCAGCAGAGGTAGGAGGACCAGCAGGCCAGAGGTGGAAGAACGCAATGCCCTCGTTTGGGTGTAGGGACTGATCAGAGCCTGAAGGTAAGGAGGTGCCGTTCCCCTCACAGCGCCATAGGCAAGCACCATGGTCTTGTAGCAGATGCGAGCTTCAACTGGAAGCCAGTGGAGTGTGCGGAGGAGCGCGGTGACGTGAGAGAATTTGGTAAGGTTGAACACCAGACGGGCTGCAGCGTTCTGGATGAGTTGTAGGGGTTTAATGGCACAGGCAGGGAGCCCAGCCAACAGCGAGTTGCAGTAATCCAGACGGGAGATGACAAGTGCCTGGATTAGGACCTGTGCCGCTTCCTGTGTAAGGTAGGGTCGTACTCTGCGAATGTTGTAGAGCATGAACCTACAGGATCGGGTCACCGCTTTGATATTAGCGGAGAATGACAGGGTGTTGTCCAGGGTTACACCAAGGTTCTTTGCACTCTGGGAGGAGGACACAACGGAGTTGTCAACCGTGATGGCGAGATCATGGAGCGGGCAGTCCTTCCCCGGGAGGAAGAGCATCTCCGTCTTGCCGAGGTTCAGCTTGAGGTGGTGAGAACAAGCCACCTCTTGGATTTACTATACTCTTTGTTTTAACTGTTTTCATTCTAACTAATCTAGGTTTAGAGGGCTTCAAATGGAGAGTCAACACTCCAGCACATTACACATCATTCATTGTTTAACGTGTGTGTGTGCACGTTTTCTTTTCAAAATATACTTTCAAAACCCCATACGGTCTTTTCAAACGGTAAACGTGACATTATGAAATAGTGAAGCTTGTGGGTCAACATGCATTTTCCATTTGTTCCTTAGTACTTTTACACTTCATAGTCATAAGGCCACTTGGTCAATAGTCCCTTTTATTACTTGGGTCACTACTTGGGGTCCTATTTGACATGCTATCAACGTTTGAATACCATTGTGAAAGTAGTAGCAGATTACTACTGCCTTGTGTAGGTGATTCATTGAGGTATATAACTAACTGATCAGTACCTTCAATATGCCTTTCTTCTTTCCACCAGAGGGAGGAGCAGTGCATCTTATTTCCTAGAGTTGTGTTGCCTCATACTACTACAATAATTGCTCTTGTCTACAGTGTGTGCAGCAACTGCAATGTGTCACTAGATGGGGCTAATGCAACAGCATATTATGACTATTTTCTCCTAAATTATAACATCACCCTTGGTTTTGAAGCTATATCAATGTTTTGAAGGCATACCATACCATATAGACCATTTTCTTATCAATAGTTACAAATTGATAATGTCACAACATCTGCACATGGAAAGAGTTTGTGCACGAATGGGTGCGTGAGGTGGTTCAAAGCAGCACTCTGGAACATGCAAAGTCAGGATCCTGCAAATCAATGATATTTCCGGCTGTTCCTAAGAAAGGGAGAGAGGGAGAGTATTATCATGAGCTCACGTTCTGAGAGTATTATGGAAATGGTATGCTTTTTTGAGTGCACTAGTCAGGTGACCAGCACCACTCATGCAAAGCCAGGCATTATTGATCATAGTGAGAGTCTCATGCCACTGCAGCATTGAGAGACTGTTTATACCCTCAGAATTTTTGGGATAATATGTTATTGTTTCTTGTATGTAGTTGGATGCAAGAGAGCAATCATGAACGCACTAACTGTAAGTCACTCTGGATAAGAGCATCTGCTAAATGACTGAAATGTAAATGTAAAATGTAATTATGATATGCATTTCAAATGAAAACGTATACATATGGCTGCAAATGTTGTGTGGTGGAACAATGTTTTTAAATGGGGTTACTTTGAAATATGCATGTATGGCATTTCCCTAGTAATTACAATGTCTTTTTTATGATATGGGCTCAAAAGCTGGTGAATCAAAGCTGCTGAATCAAGTAAATGTTTGACTCAATCCCAGAACGCAAACCCAATCCCAGGATCCAATTTCCTCCTCCAGAATTTCATCCGCAGAGTAAACTTTCCACCTCTTAGTACACTTGGCAGAACCTTCTGTACACTACGTTCTGTATTGTATTTGACCTCATTTTCTTACACTCACATCATTCATCATAGTGTAAATAATGCACACCCTGCAGTTCCTTATCAGGGAATATCAGAGGCCCACGGTTCTGCACTGCACTCTGAGGAGAGAACTCGGTGCAAAGGCATGCATGTGGGTGCTAAGACAACGTGTGTGTGTGTGTGTGTGTGAGAGAGAGAGAAAGAGAGATTGTACATGCAGGTTGAGCTCTGCTCCTCCTCCATTCTGCATTGAACCTTCGAGAGCTGCACATCTGTGTCTCTCCCACTCACGTGCACACACACACGCTCGTTATCTCAAAACACAAATACACACACATCAGTGGTTGTCCTGGGGATTCTTGCCACTGCAATCATCATCTTTGTAATCATCTATGCGATTATAACAAAACACATCCTGTGCTTCCTTTTCAGAAAGAAAGAGAGCTAGAGATCTATTCTGACAGGACAAGCATGTAGGCCAGGCCAGTGTTTCTGAAAGGGTTAGTGGCTAAGATAATCAGGGCCTTAGCATTATTTAATGTCACATTCACTACACTATGGCTCTGATCACAGATGATGAATACCACACTGACTGGATAAAATCAGAGGGTAGGGGATGGGGGGGGGGGGGGGGGGGGTGTAGGCTATGTTAGAGGGAGAGCAGAAAGATGTGTGACCTGTTGCCACAAGAAAAGGCCAACCAGTGAAGAACAAACACCATTGTAAATACAACCCATATTTATGTTTATTTATTTTCCCATTTCTACTTTAACTATTTGCACATTTGTAATGTCTTTATTCTTTTGGAAGTTCAGAGTGTAATGTTTACTGTTAATGTTTATTGTTTATTTCACTTTTGTTTACTATCTACTTCACTTGCTTTGGCAATGTTAACGTATGTTTCCCATGCCAATAAAGCCCTTGAATTGAATTGAATTGAATTGAATTGAGAGGAAGGAACATCCACAGACAGCATACTGCACACTGCAAACAGGTAATTGGGTGGAATTCTATAAAAAATTATCAAATGAAAGCAGCCAATTTAGGGGACTTTTCCCCCACCAACAACCCCTTTTCAGAACCCGCATCGGTCACACTTTATTTGGATATTCCGAAATAGATGATCTACAGATGGTTATACTATCAACAAACTATATGTTGATAAGTAACTGCTTGCTAAGGTTACGGTTAAGGTTAGGTTTAGAATAAGGGCAAGGGTTATGGTTAGGATCAGGGCTATGGTTAGGGGGTTTAGGATTATGGTTAGGATCAGGGCTATGGTTAGGGGGTTTAGGGTTATGGTTAGGATCAGGGCTATGGTTAGGGGGTTTAGGGTTATGTTTAGGATCAGGGCTATGGTTAGGGGGTTTAGGGTTATGGTTAGGATCAGGGCTATGGTTAGGGGGTTTAGGGTTATGGTTAGGATCAGGGCTATGGTTAGGGGGTTTAAGGTTAGGGTTAGGATCAGGGCTATGGTTAGGGGGGTTAGGGTTATGGTTAGTATCAGGGCTATGGTTAGGGGGTTTAGGGTTAGGGTTAGGATCAGGGCTATGGTTAGGGGGTTTAGGGTTAGGATTAGGGCTATGGTTAGGGGGTTTAGGGTTATGGTTAGGGGGTTTACGGTTAGGGTTAGGATCAGGGCTATGGTTAGGGGGTTTAGGGTTAGGGTTAGGATCAGAGCTATGGTTATGGGGTTCAGGGTTAGGGTTAGGATCAGGCTATGGTTAGGGGGTTTAGGGTTAGGGTTAGTGGATAGTTAGTTGAAATGTTGTTGACCGTTATCGAACATTTACTGGACATCTACAAAACATCTACTTGGGACTTTCCAAATAGTGTTACCCCAGCATGCCATGCTATGAGACTGGAGAGGATGAGGTTCAATAGTGTTACAGGATGATATTATCTCAAATATTGTGTTTTGGCCAGTATCCATGTAAAAAGGTCAATAGGCTAACCTGTAGTCCTCAGTGTTTATTATCATATGCAAATATTTACATTGATATGACCACACATTGGTTTAGGGTTAGGATCAGGGCTATGGTTAGGGGGGTTAGGGTTATGGTTAGGATCAGGGCTATGGTTAGGGGGTTTAGGGTTAGGGTTAGGATCAGGGGCTATGGTTAGGGGGTTTAGGGTTAGGGTTTAGGATCAGGGCTATGGTTAGGGGGTTTAGGGTTATGGTTAGGATCAGGGTTATGGTTAGGGGGTTTAGGGTTATGGTTAGGATCAGGGCTATGGTTAGGGGGTTTAGGGTTATGGTTAGGATCAGGGCTATGGTTATGGGGTTTAGGGTTAGGGTTAGGATCAGGGCTATGGTTAGGGGGTTTAGGGTTATGGTTAGGATCGGGGCTATGGTTAGGGGGTTTAGGGTTAGGGTTAGGATCAGGGCTATGGTTAGGGGGTTTAGGGTTAGGGTTAGGATCAGGGCTATG